ATGATGCTGCTTGGCCTGCTGTGTTCATCCAGCCCTGCACCTTGTTGACAAGTATGAAGCTGCTGACTGATGCTTGGTTTAGGTTCTGCCAGGACCGTTCAGCTCCTCAGTATAAAGTCCTACATCCAATCATCATGAATAGTTTGATCTATAACCTTTCCTCCAACAATAGATCAAAAATCAAAAGATTTGCTCACAATTTTACAGTGTCTTGGATCATTCAAAACTCTTCAGATACTGCATCCATCCAACCATGCTACAAAATGTGGACAACATTCAGGCTTGGGTTGCTAGGGGTCAATAAACATTCATGCCATTCATAGGCCATGCATTGGGCATCTCCAATAAGTCAGAGCCTATCCATCTCCCTTTGACATTTCCTTCAGTGAACATCCCACTATCAACATCCTCGGGGTTACTAATGGCCAGAAACTCAAATCAATCAACTATATAAACACGGCAGCTATGAGAACTGGAGAGAAACTGGAAACCTAATGGTGATTAACTCACCCTACTGATTCCCCAAAGCCTGTCCACCAGCTAGAAGGTCCAAGTCAGGATTGTGATGGAATATTACCCACTTTCCTGAATGATTGCAACTCCAACAACACTCAAGAAGCTCAATACCAAGCAGCCCACTTAATTGGTACCCAATCCACTACACTCAACATTCACTGTCGCCACCAGAGACACGCGACTGTGGCAGAGTGTACCATCTACAAGATGCACTGCAGCAACTCACCCAGGCTCTTCGACAACAAACCCATAACCTCTATCATCTGTAAGGGCAAGGGCAGCTGGTACATGGGAATGTCACCCCCTGCAAGTTCCTATCCAAGCTACTCACCATCCTGACTTGGAAATATATCACCGTTCCTTCAGTAACATTGGGTCAGAGTCTTGGAACGCTCTCTCTAACAGTGCTGTGGGTCTACCCACAACACATGGACTGCAGCGGTTCAAGAAGACAGCTCACCATCACCTTCTCAAAAGGAAAGTAGAGACGGGCAATAAATGTTGGGCTTACCATTGACTCTGACACCCTGTGACTGAATAAGAAAGAAACTGGGGCCCACTCTAGTGCAATCCTGACGTGACACTGCACACAGTAAGTTGATCAGCACTGCCTCGTCAAGCATATTGTCCGCTCTACATTCTCACCCTCTTGATGATAGTGTGCTATTTTTGTTCGACAGGCACATTGGTCACTATAATCAGGGGCATAGTTACAGAGTAGTGCAGAGGGCGGATCCCAAAACTGACCAAAGCAGCTAGTCCATGCCGGGAGATGTCTCTCCCAGTCACATTCCTGAGGTTATGTGGAATGGTAATGAAGCAGTTTCACCTGTCGAGGAAACACGATCAGCTTTTCATCTTGGGCACTGACGGCTTTGAAAGCTTCCCCCTGCGGCTGCCTGCTGTTTGAGATATATCTTGTTCCAAGGGGATTGGAAGGGAGGTTGTAGAATTCTTTATTCCTGAATTCAGGGGAACCAGAAGGTGCTTTAAACAGAAATAAACTGAAGTTTAATGGAATTGAAGGGATTTTTTAAAAAGAGTTTTTTTTATACAGTCAAGTGGATGGAAAGGTCAATTGAAAAGGTGGTATTTCTTAAAAATAAACATAAACACCTGCATTCTGATATATACTGTTATGGATAAACAGTAAAAGCTGGAGCAGAAAATGATTTCAGCACTTCTTCACTTTTCTTTCTATAATAGATCTTGTATATGTGTGTGTGTGTGTGTGTGTGTGTGTTATATAACCCCAGACTGAGACAATGTTCTGCAGTTGATGTTACCTAACTCTGGCTGCTTTGAGGGTTGAAGGAACAGTTGCATTTATTCATTCATTCATTCATTCATATCATATCATCCCTCCGATTATAATTCCCCCTTACTCTCAGGAGGGAGAGATTGTAAAACTGTAACGACTTACCTCCTGGAATCAGAGGCGGCTGAAGTGTTAGCATCAGAACGAAGAGGGTAAAAAAAATCATCTCCACAAAAGCTGTCAGATAAACGCACCAAGATATTGTTCCAGAACCCAGGATAATGCAGCTCCCTCTCTATAGAAGGTAAGAAAGCAGTTTAGCACGTCTGCATCTTGCGGACTGACTAGAGTTTACTGCAGGGTTTGAGTTCAGGCAGTTTACGTAGACAGGAAATTCTCTCTCTCTCTCTGATAGTCCCTCCCTCTTATAGTAATCCTATCTGTTCACAACGATCAGCCTCCCACACCGACAGAGCTGTAAAGCGTCACATTATAAACCACCTGCCAGGTTAAAGCCGATCTGGAGGAACAAAGAGAGGAAAACGACAGTAGCTGAATCCACCTTCAGCTCAGGAAACACTGCCGCAGGCTCCACAATGGGGAACAAAGAGAAACTGTGGTCAACTTTTAATATCCTGCTCTGGCTCTCTCATTATTGCTGCTCGTCGCTTCATGGTCCACAGGTTTAACACCTTCCTCCGCGCAGCCAACAAATCACTCGCTGCGATAAAGCTTTGAATTGGTCACTGGAGCAGCAACATTGCAAGGGCTTTGTATCTGTGTGTGTGTGAGAGAGAGAGATAACAAGGTGTAGAGCTGGATGAACACAGCAGGCCAAGCAGCATCAGAGGAGCAGGAAGGGCCTTCTTCTGAAGAAGGGTCTAGACCCGAAACGTCAGCCTTCCTGCTCCTCTGATGCTGCTTGGCCTGCTGTGATCATCCAGCTCTACACCTTGTTATCTCAGATTCTCCAGCATCTGCAGTTCCTACTATCTCTGAGAGAGAACCATTCCAGGTTTAAGAGAAAGCCAGCCCTGGAGGGAGATAGAGGAAAGAAAGGAGAAACAGAGGGACAAAGAAAGGAGAAGAGACAAGGGAGGAGCAGGGAAAGAAAACATAGAGAGAGAGAGAGGAGAAAGAGAGATATGTGACAATAAAGCTAATTCAATTCAAAGAGAGGTATAAGGGAGAGAGATGGAGAAAGAAAGAGACAGAATAGAGGAAGGCAGAGAGAGAATGGTCAGATTCTTTAATGATAATGGTGGGAGTGACATTGGGCCATCTGGGCCCTCAAACACATACCCACCATTCTACCTCAATGTCATTTCCCTTCACTATGTCCCTCAAAACCATTGATTGAGCTTCCATGGCGACCTGGGGTAGGTTGTTCCAAAGATTCACCAGCCCTGGGGGGAAGACAATTGCTCTTCATCTCAGCCCTAAAGGGCCTATAAACCCATTAGGGGAAACATCCTTCCTTCATGTATCCTGCCTAGCCTTGTAAGGATGTTGGCTGCTTCAATGAGATAATCTCTCATTCTTTAAATGGATGTGAGCCCAGTCTCCTCAATCTCACTTCACAGTTCACTATCCCAGGGATCAGTCTCTGTCACACTCCCTTCATAAACAGTCCACCCTTCCTGAGGAAACAGGACCAACAGTGCACACAATACTCATGGTATCCAACAGCACGAGAAGAGGCCATTCAGCCCGTAAAGGTTTGTTCTTTGGTCGACCTATCCAATTAGTCTTACCATCCAACCACTGTCCCTATAGTTCTGGAAGTGTCCTCCTTTTAGTTGGAGATCTAGTTTTCCTTTGAGAGATTACTGCCTGAAGGCTGGCTGTGCAATGAGTAGGACCATGGTTCAGATATAGTTTGTCAAAGACATTCTCCAAGCTTTAACAGTTATAACAACCATTTGTATCCCTGTAACCTTCTCCAGCACCTAAAATCCTCCCTAGCTCTAACTTTCCCCAGCCCCTACAACCCTCCCTATCTCTGTAACCTTCCCCAGCCCCTACAACCCTCCCTTATCTCTGTAACCTTCTCCAACTCCTAGCTCAACCCATCCCTATCTCTGTAATATTCTCCATTCCCTAAGACATTCCCTATCTCTTCATCCTTCTCCACGCCCCACAGCCCTTCCCATTTCTGCAACCTCCTGCAACCGCCCCTATCTCTGTAACCTCCTCAGCACCAACAGTACTCCTTATCCCTGCAGCCTTCTCAACACCAACAACACTCCCAACCACTGTAACCTCCTTCAATACCGATGGCATTCCCTATCTCTGTAACCTCCATCAGCCCTACAATGCTCTGAGAGATTTACCCTCCCCTAACTCTGCCTTGAATTGTGAACACCTTTGAGGCTGTGTTTTCAGTTGACTAGACCTAAGCCCAGGAAGTACATCACTCAACTCCCAGCATCTTCACCAGCTTCAGGCCTTTAATTAATCTGCCAACCTACCTCTTTATCAGGTTGTTTGCTATTTGTCCCTAATATCACATGATATTGCTGATCTCCACTTTTACTTGATAATGCTTCTTTTGAGCACCATGCAATGGATTACTTTGTGATGGACATATTATCAATGCAAGTTGTTATTGCTGCTGTTTGTTCTCCCCATGAGGCTCCTTCCACACCATGATCTCTTTCCATTCTGCCCCTCTATTCTCTTCCTCTCTCATCAGTGCTTTAGGCCTCCCCTTTAATGTACAAAGGCCTTAAGCATGTCTCATTCATATGAGATCCACATTCTTGGCTCTCTGTAGAAAAACGTTTCTCAATTTTTAAATTATGTGTTAGCCATGTCAGTGCCTGTCTGATGACTACACTCCCTACGCTCCGGGCTCAGACACGATCAGAAATGGTTTTGTTAAACACACTCACCAGGGAATTGTGACATGTATGTACAGGTATTGTGTGGCCAACTGCAGTTCCAAAATGATAGGCAGGAAAGGGGCCATCAAATTCCTTTAGGAAATGCCCCATCCGCTACATTGGCTATGTGCAAACATGAGGCATCCTTTAGCAACCTAAGACCAGGCCCTATGTTCTAATGTCTATTCCCCACTGAACACTGAACCCATTTACCTGAGGGTCTCTTTGCAGTGGTGGCTGGGTCATCATTCCAGCTCTGTGGCAATGAGGCCTGATACTCAAAGCTGGAGAACCTTGGGGCTCACCATTCTGCTGCATTGTTTTAACCCTTCCTACTCACCCCCAATCCCCATAACACCCCCCCTACACCAGTACATAGACACTCCTATTTTCAGCCTTTCTGACGTCACCATTTTGTTTCTCAATTTAGACACCTAACAGGGAGTTATTTTTGAAAATATATCTACTACCACTCAGAAAGGAACAGCAAACAGCAACAGAAAAACGTTCTTACCCCTCATACTGTGCCCATACCCAAACCAAAGAATGTCCTATCGCAGAATAACAGAATTGTTACTGAGCAGAAGGAGGCTATTCAGCCCGTTGTGCCTGCACCAGCTCTTCAAACTATCATCATGGCCTAGTGGTAGTCTCCTGCTTTCTCCTGATATCCCTACACATTATTTCTATCCAAATACCCATCCAATGCTCTTTGAATACTTCATTTGAACATGCCTCCACCACACTTCCAGACAGTGCATTCCATACCCTAACTACTCGCTGCGCTGATGCTATCTCTTTCTTTCCATGCTCACATTTCACAACTGGAATGCCAAGTGCTAAAAGAGCCAGTCACCAGTAAAGAACAGGCCACATGGATAACATGGATAACGTGATAGTGTTTTTCTATTCATTTGTGGGATGTGGGCGTCGCTGGCTGGGTCATCATTTATTGCCCGTCCCTAGTTGCCCCTAGAGAAGATGGTGGTGAGCTACCTTCTGGAACCACTGCAGTCCACCTGCTGTGGGTTGATCCACAATGCTATTAGGGAGGGAATTACAGGAATTTGGCCCAGTGACAGTGAAGGAATGGCGACATATTTCCAAATCTGGAGTGTGGCGATTCTGGCATCGGTGGGTGCAGTGCAGGTGATGGCGCGGGTGTGGTTGGTCATCGGCTCATTGTTCCTGGTGGAGGCAGCGGAGCAAAGGTTGACTTTCAGCAAACCTGGAAGCAACTGATCAAGGGGAAGGGAGATAAAACCCTAGGGATCCTACAGGTGACATAATGTAGAGCTGATCTCTTACTGAGAGTAACTTTGAAAGCAGCATTTTGTCTCCTGAATGAAAAATCCCAGCATGGCATGAGTAGACCACTGTGCAGGAAGAGAGCCAGTTACAGATGAAAGTATTGCAGTGATAACTTTGCCTATTTCTCAACAGCAAGTTTATGGCCACAATGTTCTGATGATATACAAAAACAGGGTTTGTACTTTGAAGTAACTCCAGATCAATATAAAACACTTCTAACCAGTGTTGCTGTTACTACTGTCCTTCTCGTTTCAATTGTTGAGTTTCATTATGTCATAGAGTTTTATAGCATTGGAAGAGGCCATTCAGCCCATCATTTCCAGGCCAGTTGAGAACATATAAACAGTAGAAATAGAAGGAGGAATGGTACACTCAGTCTCTCAAACCTGCTCCGCCATTCAATAAGAATAATGGGGAATGTTATAGAAACATAAAATTATGAAGGGAATAAATAAAATAGAAGCAGGGAGGTTGTTCCCACTGGTGGGTGAAACTAGAACCAGGGGGCATGGCCTCAAAATGAGGGGGAGCAGATTTAGGACTGAGCTGAGGAAGAACTTCACCCAAAGGGTTGTGAATCTGTGGAATTCCCTGCCCAGTGAGGCGGTTGAGGCTACTTCGTTGAATGTTTTTAAGGCAAAGATGGATAGATTTTTGAACAGTAAGGGAATTAAGGGTTATGGTGAGGGGGCAGGTAAGGGGAGCTGAGTCCATGAAAAGATCAGCCACTAACTTATTGAATGGTGGAACAGGCTCGAGGGGTCAGATGACCTATTCCAGCTTCTACTTCTTATGTTCCTATGGCTAACCTTGTGCCTTAACTTTCTTTTCCTGCACAGTCTCTGTATTCCTCTATACCCTGTGACGTCAAGAATATGTTGATCACACTTTGGAATGTACTCCATAACAGAGCATTCACAACTGTCTGCTGTAGAGAGTTTCAGAGCTTCACAGCCCTTTAAATGAAGACATTTCTCCTCTTCTCAGTCCTGAATGATCATTCCCTTATTCTGAGGCTGTGCTCTTGAGCTCTAGGTTCCCTATCCAGGAAAAGATCACCCTGTC